TCTTCTTCTTCTTCTTCTTCTTCTTCTTCTTCTTCTTCTTCTTCTTCTTCTTCTTCTTCTTCTCCTCCTCTGCATGGTGTGGACAAAGCCTGGGCTGAAGACACACACACACACACACACACACACACACACACACACACACACACACACTCCTGAGTGCGGATCCCTGTTCCTCGGGGGTTGTTTCTCCTCCTCATTGGGATCTACAGTGGTGTGTTTTCGGGGACCATGGGGCTGCTGGGGGTCCGGAGGGGGGCCTTTCTGTGGAGGATAGCCCTGATCTGCCTCTCCATCTGGGGGGCGGATTCTCAGACTGCAGCGGGAACTAAACCAACGTACATCTGGCAAACAGGTAGGAGAACACAACTATCAATGAGATGATTTCAGTGTGTGCAGTGTCCATGTGTTCAACTGGGGTAATAACAGGGTTTATACCTTTATTTTGACACCTGGCAAACAGGTAAGGAGCAAAGCAAGCGAACAGAACCAACAATAAGACCATGCTACTCCAGTGCAGGCATCTCACAGGCTGTTATCATGTGTAATAACAGAGTAACATGGGTGTAACATGGGTGTAACATGGGTGTTATGGGACGTATGAGTGGTATTAATGTGTCAGATAATCACGGTACTTGTGCTTTACTTTGGTTTTTCCATTATGCAACTTTATACTTTTACTCCAGTACATTTTGGGAGAAAATTGTATATTTTTTAATCCCATTCTTTCAAATTAAAGAACGAGTTACTTGCATTTCTTAGGCGTGGAGGTGTCCCACTCACACCTGATAATATGTGTGTGTCCTCGCCTGCAGGAGAACTTGCTCACAGAGGGTGTGTGTGTGTGTGTGCGTGCTTGTGTGTGTGTGTGTGTGTGTGCGCGTGTGCTTTGTGTTGCTCACTTTTTGTTCACACGTGCACACAGCATGCTGCATGGAGCCATCTTTGCTGTGCAGAGGAAGCGTATTTACTGCAGTCTTTCTCTGCTGGGACTCCTCTGATACACACTCATTCATCACCGTGTCAGACGTGTGTGTGTGTGTGTGTGTGTGTGTGTGTGTGTGTGTGTGTGTGTGTGTGTGTGTGTGTGTGTGTGTGTGTGTGTGTGTGTGTGTGTGTGTGTCTAGAGGATGGAGGGTGGTGTCAGTGCAGATGCAGGTGTTCCCATGTTTCACTGTGCAGCACATGGCGGGGAGGAGACTGGGGGCTGGGGTGCGGATCAATGTTTTCTTTCTCTACTGTCTAATCTGCTGGATCAATGTACTGGTTTCACTGGGACCCCCCCCCCCCTGTTCAGATCAATGCTGGGTTTGCGTGGAGTCTGGAAACATCTGAGTCTGTGATACCAACACCCATCAGAGCAGGGAATTTCCAGTTTAAGTTTGAATTTAAATTGTGCATTTTTTGTATAAAATGTGCATGAATCAGGAGATTATTCATGAACAAAATGAGTCCACTAACTTTCATCAGAAGGACCTAGAGACGTCCAAATGAACCTTTGGTGCAACTGAGTTAATGTCACCATGAAGGAGCAGTTTACATATCATGCAAACATCCAAACACAACATGATACTCACTCACGAAAACAACATATGCAAGTCACTTTTTTAAACAATTTAAACGTCTTTTTTAGGAGGGGTAGAGTTAAATAAACCTGACCATACAATGGCAAATAAAAATCACATCTACATTTTCCTTTGATAATATGGTCGGTCTTTCACAGTATTGCGATTACAAATACTGCAAATCATCTGGCGCTTTATGTTTCCTTATTACATTAAGCACCCTGCTTGTTTTCTCCAAGAAACCTCAGCTGACATCAGATGGTTGACCTTATCTGCTCAGTAATCTGATATCTGTGTTTGTGCACGTGTTGTTTGTGTCTAGGTAATGGTTTCTGTAGTGGGAGTAATGCACGCTGTAATCCCTGCAAGGTTTCAGAGTTAGGACCAGCGTTTACATGGTTCACAATACGGCGCTCTGTTGTTTACCTTTAATCATCTGTTGTGTGTATTGTTGTTTTTGGACGTGTCTCACGCTGTGCAGGAATGAGAAGCTTTACCTCGCAGCAGAGAGGAGATTAAGGTTAGAGAAACCAGAGCAGATTGGCCAGACAAAGTTAACCTAGATATCTGTGTGTGTGTGTGTGTGTGTGTGTGTGTGTGTGTGTGTGTGTGTGTGTGTGTGTGTGTGTGTGTGTGTGTGTGTGTGTGTGTGTGTGTGTGTGGG